ACACACACACATTCGCGCGAACACACTAATGACACCCAACGCTTGCATGTTCGCATAAATTGGAATTATTCACCGATGATCACAAATCAATGTAGACATCGGAATGAATAGTGGGAGAGGGCAGAATTGGACATTTTAGCGGCTCCCTTTCTCTATGGCAGTAGCCTCATTGTAGCGATTAACAGTATAACACTTAGGCTTCGTTCACATGCAATGTCTCTTTTCTATTTTCTATTTTCGGTATGTCTTATGATCACGGTCTGTGCACTGAATATCCCGCCGCGTAATTACTGGCAGCGCGAGCCAGTTACTTATAGTAACTTATAGTAACTGGCTCGCGCTGCCAGTAATTACGCCGCGGGATATTCAGTGCACAGACCGTGATCATAAGACATACCGAAAATAGAAAATAGAAAATAGACATTGCATGTGAACGAAGCCTTTGAAATTCTCATGTCCGCCTCCGCATTCATTATGTTTCCCTTTTTTTATATACTCAATGCTGACAAGAATTGTATTTCTAGGATTGCTAAATGCAGCAAAACATTCCAATCGTGAGTGTCGAGACCGCAGCTATTTCTACTGCTGTCATTTCCCATGAAGTCCAGAACAACAGTCTCTTCATTGTAATTTGTTTTAACACGCGATTTTAACAAGACTGACAGAATAGATGTTATTGTTACATGAACCTTTTGTACCCCGGGGCGGGGCCAAGCTTCACTGATATGACTAACTTTTAAGACTATTTCTTATTCACTTAAAGGTATGTCGGTTTGGCATGGACGAATGAGAACATATGAGATCTAGACAAACATTAACAAATGCTACGCTTCCTCATTATCATGAGGAAGAGGCTTATGCTTTTTAACTTATATTTGTTGACACGTAAATGAACAATGATATGTAAAGGGACATTGTCAGCCATATTTTGGTTTTTATACACCCTGCTTTTAAAATGACGTTCAATGTTTCTAAACAATAAAGCAAATCCCCAGGATTGCTTTAAGTGAAAATATAATGAATATATTTGACCGTTCACTCGGATGAAGCATGGCCAAAATTACGTTATTATGTCCAATGATGAAGTCAAAGGAAGAAGAAACTTGAAGGTACTCTATGCGGGATTCACCAGCCATGAATGAATAGGGGAGACCGGGGCTAGTTGGCCCAGTTAGACACTTTTGGCCTTGTAGAGCCAACTAGGAGTGGGTTAGAGTAACAAAACCGGTTTCAAAGTAAGCCTCATGAACTAAGCTACGTATGCAACGCCATTATTTTTCAAATATAATGCCAGGTGGCTCACAATTCGACAAAAAACGCAGTTGACGTTAGGGGAGCCAACTTTATTTATTTAATTGATTATTTAGAGTCTTTGATGAATAAACAGTTCAAATGAGGCAGATTTATTGAGGTTTCCGTACGTCACGTTGTTGGGGGGGGGGGGGGGGGTACGTGTTGCAAGAACCAAAATATCTATCAATAAAATGTGTTTTGTTTTAATTAAGAATAAATAAATAATGGTATGAAGAAGGTTTTTAATGAATGAAAACGAATAATAAATTTTCTTTTTAAAAGAAAGTAACAAATTCAGTTTTAAACCATTGAGTTTGTTTCAACAATGGTCTCTAGCTAGGGAGAGGTGGAAAATCCCCTTAAGGGCCTCATATAACACTATAAATACAAAGGGAATCCCCTAAAAATGAATTAAGGCAAAATAAATGTTTTTCTACGGAAAGTCCAATGGATTTGCTTTTTAATACTTACAATCAACAGAATATTTCTAATATAAATTCTCAAAAAGACACCAGAGAGAAAATTTAAAAAATCAATCAGACGGTAATAGACACCGGCAAGCTTTGTCAATTTCACCAACTTGTTTATTTCAAACAGCGTTGCGCGCAAAGGTTTGTGGGTAATATGAGGGTCCAACTTGCCCCGAGTCAAGGGGGCCAACTAGCCCCGGGTGCACATTATTTATTTTAAAGGATGGTAGCCATTTATGGTGCTAGAATGTGCAACGATGATACATCTCTGTGAAACTTGAAACAATGAGCTTCAGTTTGATGCCCTATACATATCTTATATTCGATCAAAAGCCTATGATAATAGATTTTTAAATCTCTTAAACAAAATTACTTTTAGGTGCAAAAATCGTTTATTTCGACTCACCGCTTATGTAAAACTTTTTAACGTCTGACACTTCCTTAGCATTGTAGGCTACGGTCACTTTGCAAGAGTATGTGGCCAATTTTTTTACCTCATAGTTACTTTTTCATAAATTGACGGGGGGCCAACTTACCCCGGGGTCCAACTAGCCCCGGTCTCCCCTACTCCTCGAAAAAAAAAACAATTTTTCTCCTACTTTTAAATCATTTCTCGACCCGTTCCAGCTCTTGGATGCGATGCCTTATTCCATTTTTAATTAATGATTTAGTTTTAAATGGCAGGCTAGTCATTTAAATCTTGCCTTTAGCACATTTCATGAGAAAACATCGACGTCAGATACTATTATTTGAGGGGTTTGATAGTTTTTAAGGTCTGAAATGGGAAAGATTTGTAGCTTTGCAGGGTTTTAAGATATAGAAATATGATTTTGGGAAACTTTCAAGCGCGTGAAGTATACATTTAACTTTAAGACGTATGCTCATACCAACAGTATGTTGTTTTTGATTAACGCTCTTTTCGACGATAGCCAGTTATAGAAAATTATCAAGGGTTCTGAATAATTGTATTTGTTTAAACGTCAAAAGTCCATAAACTGTCATTGAAACGTTTTTCAAATAATCAGCTTCTTGCGGAAGATGTAACATGAATAAGATGACAAATGATAAAAAGACATAATTGAGAAAGGAAATTGACAAAATACTGAATGAATAAATGAAAGAACAAAATAACGCTATTCCATTTTTGCGAGTGTGAAGTATTGGGAATGTTATAAAACTCAACTGTTCAAAAGTAATTACGTAGTAGAAAACTGTCTGGTGAATAAAAAGTATATATTACAACCTCGGTGATCATTGTAACGCCATTATTCCCTATTCTAGGCTTGTATAGTAAAAGAAAAAAGATCTGGAGAACCTGGGCATTGATCCCAGTACCTCTCACATGCTAAGCGAGCGCTCTACCATTTGAGCTAGATCCCCTTTTAGTATACGAATGGTACATTCTCGTCAAAGATGAGTTCAGCAAATATGATGAAAAGCACGCACATTTAACCTGAGCTCAACAACGAAAATGCCTATTATTCAATTATCGTTGATATGGCCTGTTTTGTGCAATTAGTAGTGAAAAAGACGCTCAGTTGTATAACATGTTTATAATGTTTATCTTGCTGGCACTCCGCAATTTACCGAAGTATTATTTGACAGAAGTTATAACCCTTTCAGCTTAAAAAAGTGGTCAAGTAACAGGGCAATTAAAACCAAACCAAACAAAACAAAACAAAACAAAACAAAACAAAACAAAACAAAACAAAACAAAACAAAACAAAAAATAAATAAAAATACATCCCTTAAAAAGTTATAAACATGCTTAGCACAGAAGCCCCTTATTCCTACTAATGTTATTCACAGTAATATCTTCCATCAACAATTGATGCAAGACCACATTAATTAAGATATTTATCTATGAAAG